TTCCTTTCATTACCATTTTCTCCATCAATGGCAATATCATTAATGCAATAATATATTTCCTAATTTATATTTCCCAGGAAATTATCCCGAAGCACCAATTAAAAATTCCGTCGGGTCTGCCGAGCGGCAAACAACCATGAAAATTCCATCGGCGATAAATTCCCTCGTAATCTCCATTAATTCGAACGTCATTTCACTCACTCAGTGACGTAATATGTCATCCAATTACATTATTCGAATCCATTGAAATCTCTCTGCCGAGGTACAATCCGCGAAACTTCGTACATTCTGTTGAAAATTCGGGAGCGTGAGGAAAAATCGTTTGTAACAGCCGCACGAAAATAGGTCCTGGCAGCATTCCATTCCCGATCCCGGTCCCCATCGTCGGTTTTCGCGGATTCCAGCGAAAAATTTTCAAACGTCGCGCTGGGCTCGAGCCCTTCGAAACTAACGCGGTTTGCACGACTGCGAATTAACCCTCGGTAGGCAAATGATTCGATCGATTATCCGGAATTTTTTTTTTTTTTTTTTTTTTGAATTTGACATTTACTTCATTTCTCTTGATAACACAGAGGCTTAATTTTCGAATGAAATTGCGAAATTCAGAATAAAAGTTTCAACTCTTCCTCAAATTTCGATTCGATGCATATATTTCGTTCCTGGTAAAATAATTTTGCCGTAACTATTAGAATTGATATCTGAAGTCGCTGATAATTTTGCGATCCATTTTTTCTTTACGCCTGTATTTTCTCATCCAATCCAAATTTTTCTCGAGTGTGTTCTGTCGATGTAACTTGTATTAACAACACGTGTTTTTTTTCGTTTTATTTCGTTGGACGAAAAGAGAGTTTTAGAAGAAATGCGCTTGAATTTGATGATCGTTTCACCTCGGTATAATTTGACGCACAATTCACTCTTTTGTGACAAAACAATCGATCGCGTTTGCCAAACTTCGATCATTAAATCATCTGATAAATAACAGCACGTTTCGTCACAAAATCCGAATATTGCACGGCATGCCTTCGACTCTTAACTTAAAGCAGCGAATACGCTTTTCGCTCGCGGAGTCGTAAAGTTCATAATCAGTGGTAGCAATCCTGGGGCCCAGAAGACTCGGCGGGTGCCATACCAAACGCAGAGGGTTAATGCAACCGGCCTCGCCTCGATTCCCTTCGGAACTTCCTCTTTCCCCGAGAACTAGGAATAATTTTTCATCGAAAGGCGAGGCGGGCCGCGCGTCGAGCAAAAGGGTGGCTGGTGGAACCGGGGCGCTTCAATTTCGCCTGGCTTTCGGGCACGACGACCTAGAAACGACAACCAGTCGCATCCACGGCGAGCATTTATCCCAGAGATTCCTCTTTCTTTCATCCTCCTCGCCAACTTCTTGACAGTTTTCGATCGAGGCACGTTCGTCGAATCGGCAACCACTCCGGCAGATCCTTTCCATTCTCTCTTTCTTCGTTTCCCTTCCCCCCTTTCCCGCTTTTTTGTAAGATCATCTTGGAACACTTGGTGTCCCGTATCTTTGTCGGTTCTAGAATTCCTGAGTAAAATAGTAACAGAGCTGGCTTCTACTCGAGAATTTTAGTTGACAGTTCCCGGGGAAAAGTTATCATCCGGGAGAGGATGAGATAAGAAGTTACGAGCTTCGACTCGTCCAGTAGATTGGTTTTGTGCTTTCTTTCGAGAGCGACAAGATAACCGAGAGACAGAGAGAGAGAGAGAGAGAGTTTAAGATCAAACTGTGTCCTTTGTTTACTTACGCGCTATGATTCTTGCGCGAAGTGTCTTTCTTTAAGCAAAGAGAAATCACGCTGTAACGCGACGCGATATCAGTTTCATGGTATGTACGTACGTGCTAATTCCGTTTGTACATAGTCTGCGACTGCTGGTAAATTGGAGCAAGTTTGTTGTTAGGAACTGAGCGTTTCTAGTTTCGATCGATTGCCCCTACTTAAGTCACGTTTCCCATTCGTGTATACGTAAGAGATAAGGTGGTGGTCGGTCACGTGTTCAAGTTTATACAGTTTATTACATATTACGGATAAACATGAAATTATCATATTCATAAATAAAGTGAGAGATTAACTTCTTAAATTTTCTTAAGTTTCTCTAAATACTCTTCTTCTAAAAAGGCTTTGATTATTATCTTGATCATATTGTCTCATGCTTAATTGAACTACGCGTAGTGTTACCCGAATAAAACTAATTGTACTCATAAATCTCCACTCAAATGAAAATCACGTGGCAGAATAAATTTGATACATTATTTCGTTGTTGTTATGCACTGTCGTCGTTATCGTTAATTAAATAAATTACCAGCAGTGAAATTGCAATTGTGACAGTCCTACTACGTTAGAAGACAAAACATAAATTCTTGACACTAATCGTAAATCTATATTCGAGTCTAAATTACGTGACAGGACTAGTTCTACCTTATGTTATTTCAATCAAATAGTATCGCCGAAGCACATTACGTTGTTACTGTCACTGTGATTGTTAATAAACCGAATGACTAAAATGAAATGAAATTGGATCCCCATTACAAGGTGAAACGTATCTCTTTACACTGCGAGCCTAATAAATTCCACTCGAGTTTAAATCACGCGGTAGAACAAGATCCGGCTCCTTATTTCAGTCGAATGGATTAGTATCGGCGAGTACTGTTCAAGCACGTCCTTCGCAAAACATCTTGGCACGCCGTGCTGGCCAGCGATATCGTCGATAAATTTTCAACTCTCCAGATGTTTCTTGTCCCGTGCATGCATCTGTCTATGGTCTCGGGTTCGAGGAAAATCCAAGAGAAAAAAAAGAAGCGAGCGAAGGAAGAAGAGAGAGAGAGAGAGAG